GACCGAAGATAAAACAAACCTTTTATAAAACATTTGACGCTTATTGCTTTGCCAAATACAGGAATAGGCAGCATCGTAAAAGAGAGCTACATTCCATTTTGCTTACGAAGTCATTCAGTGAAAATACGATACATCATTACTTGATACCGAATGCGCCTGGGCATAGCTGAAATTTGAATGTAGCTTGAATAATCTGTGGTAATGTTTGCGAATAATTGATAACAATGAATCTAAGTAAACGGGAGAGATGCCTATGGAAAAATATATTTTGTGTGACTCTGATTTTCACAGATAAAAACGCATTTTCACAATCATAGAAAACAGTAGGAGGCCATTGTTTGAAAGTCTGGCTTGTCCATAGCAGTTAATTTTTATTAGCAGCGTCTTTATTCAGAATATATATTCTTTAACTAATATATAAAATAGGTTTTTGGACGATTTATAAATATTCTATTACTGTCAATGTTGTATTACTTTGTAACAAAATTTTAGAAAAGTTCTCAAAAATTAATCACCGTGGTGGCTGGGCGCATGCGCGTGAGGTCTCGTCTGAAGTCCCAAATTAATGCCAAATTTCTCACATGTTTCGATTCTTAATAACGGCGTATCACGACGGCATTTTTCGCATACATCCCGAACAAAGTGTACTTAAACAGGCTGTCGACAATATTCTTTCGGTGCATATATTGACTCTCGGCTACTTCAACGCTTAGACAAATAATTTTCCAATATTTCTATTACTTCCCCATTCTTTGCCCGAATCTTGTGCATGCGACTATTCTTTTTTCAAGAATCCTAACCTTTTACTTGCAAATTAAGTTAATGAAATAACACGTGATTTGGACGACTGAAGCATGTCTATACCTGGCTTCGACCCTCACATCACATGTCTAGCAACTTAATAAACAAAGGTTAGCACTGTTTTTTAGGGGGGCCACGTGGCCAAGCCTTCCACAGATTTTTCATAGAGAGAAATAGTTTTCACTTACCCATCTTTACTAGTGCGAGTAAGTTTGACTCAAAAAACCGCTATCAAACGTCTTTCACTGTGCACAAAACCCACACATTTAACGTGACAAAATCGACTAAGCAGTAATCATACGATGAACATCAATGCATAGTAGGTTGATATATCTATTCCCATAATAGATTACTGGCTAACATACTTTTCAGTTAATTTAAAACACGTGGTGGTCTAGATTCGGATGCGGACAAAGATACGTCCCGTTTCGTATTGGTAGCCAACCGTCTGTCGGAATAATTAATGGCAGTGCCGGACGTAAAACTCGACAGGTTTAGGTTCAGTAGACTCTTGTTAGCAGACACAATCGGCAGTCTGCAATGGGAGACGACATACAAAATGCAAGTCGGGACTTGCGCCACCTCACCCGCAAGTTCGTGTGATATAGTACTACCTCCATTTCTAACATTCGCAGAAAGCAAGTAGTTATTATCTACAATGTTTATACTTTTGGGATTTCATAGAGGTGGGCCGACCCTGGAAATAGTGCTATACCAGGCCAACCCGTGGTTGAGGTGGAGCCAGCTCCGAGCACTCAGCCCTCTTTCAAAAAATAGTTTAATATCTTGGGGGACAATGTCCCCCGTATCAGATATTAAGCTGATAAGAACAGATACTACACTTTGATCTTAGCCAAAAGGCCGAGAAGCGATACCTTCGTTGATGTGCCTGTGAGTCCAATGCTTGCTGTCTTTTCATTGCCGCATCGATTTGCAAACAAGTATTCATTAAATTTTTGGTAACAGGTTGCAAACAATTAAATCAAGTTCGACGTATATATATTGAATTGGGTATATACAATATAAATATAACTAGACCATGTTAACAGCAGACGCCAAACGAGAATTTCAATTGAAAATTACACTTCTGACTGTACTAATTAAAACCTATGATTTTAACTATCGCGGCAGTCGAGCCTCGGAATGATGCAATTATCCAAAGGGACTCTTAATCTTCTGCAAAAACACTGTCGAGTCATGATTAATGATACTGACATGGAAAGGGTTTATTTTTTGAAAATTTTATTCTACACCTGAGTCGGTGCATATCTCAGTATACGTAAGGCGTTATTCGTAACTGTAGTGGAAGCCTTTTTTCAATAGACTTGAGATCATGCTCAACAAAATTTGCAAGTGTTTAAGTAAAAAATATACTGCGTTAATTTATAATAAAGCAACAATTATAGAAATGAAGTTGTTTTTTATATCATATGAATTTGAACACGTTTAGAGAAGGTTCATTGTTTCCAAACGATTCTTATTGCACTAGATGTATCGCTAATGGCCTTCTATATTACTGCGGCAAAGGTTAGAACTATATTTTTATGTCGAAGTGTATAAACAGCATCAGCACTAAAAAAGTCAGCTCTTCCATAGAGTTGTACGTTTCGTAACTGGCAAATAGTTGCATGAAGCAGATTCTTGAATGTTGAATAGAAAAAGCCGCTCTGGCGTGGTACATTAGGTAGGGAAATAAATGATCAGTTTAAAACCTTGACTATCTCAATAATTGCGCTTTACCAATCTGAAGTCTGGCTTACTTCATGCTACAATAGAATTTTGTGTGTTTTAGGCCAGTTTAACTATGTGGCATTCATGGCGAAAATAGAGATATTTAATCAGGATTTGACCAGTGTTATTTAAAGCATTGCGCACAGTTCTCGGGATGGTCTAGTTATAATGTGCTAGCCTATCGGACTGAGGAACAAGTGAGGTTATCTATATTTAAAACCGGTACATACCCTTCATTATATACTGAAGCAGGCAAGCCGTCTGAGACAACGTTTAAACGCTAATTAACACCAGACGTAAAAACTGAAGTATATCAAGGCATTGTACGTTGTTCACTTCTCAAATATAAATGGATACTACACAGGCAGAAAACATAAATTTTACTTTAAGCAATTGTTCAGGGTGTGTTGCGACTGTTGACGATTGATTTTACAAAGAGAACTTTACCCTGGGTTAATGTTCACTAACCACGTTCGAAAATTAAAAACTTCAGACATGCTTAGCCGAAAATTTTTGGAGATCGTTAATCTGTCGCGAATAACTCATCCAACTGTCTCAATGGCTTGTGCGCTTCGGGAAAGGCAAGGCAAGGAGGTGAGTACCCCATAAACTGAACAAAAACATATGTATTGCATTGTACTCCGTTTATCAGCCTCTTTAAATCGCAGAATGTCAGACTGTTACTGCCGATAATATGCGCATATTTTGCTGCAACTAAAAGCGCAACACATCATGAATCGTTGCCGGACAAGTGGGAGACTTACGGAAGTAAACATCCTTTATGTGTCTGATGAAATACGAGAAAAAAAAGGTCTATTATGAGTTCCTATAGTTTCGTGACACGGTCGTTGAAGGACGACGCGCATCTCAGCTAACGAATCTAAGCAGCTGGATTGTGAAAAAGAAAATCGTAAAAGGATCTGATGCAGGACAACATACCGAGTTTTAAAAGTAGAAGGAACTGCGTTTATAGAAGCCGGCCTGAATCTGAGTCGATTTACCCATATCTATTAGACATCGTATAGATGACATAAAGTACACAGCATCACCCAGATATTTGCCGAACGTCAATTCAAGTGTGGAGAAAAACCAATTTATATTTTTTTGTCAACGAAATCAAACTTTTACGTCTTTATATTTCATCGCTTTATATGAACAAACAAAAATAGTAATTTATTTGATTTGTTTCAAATAACAAATGTTAAACAGTATCTGCTGCATTGGTTGTGCGTTTTAAATGTGTAGTAGATGAATCACATATAGATATATGTACATTGTGGGATAGACTGCTCGGCTACATAAATGATCTATGTAAATGTTTTCTAAACAAAAATCGAAATGCTTCTAAGATTATTTTGTTCTCTCCTAAAATGGACTATGGTTTTTTTTTTACTCTAACTACAACCATCAATGGAGACACCATTTAACTCAAATTTTGGTTTCTAAACTTAATGAAATCCATGTGTACTCGGTAAAAGACTATTCACGTCCAAGTGCTACATTTCAGGGCTACTTTCAGATGTCGAATAGAACCACCCAGAAAAACATCCTACGAAAGTCTTGTCCATTAATTTTATGAAGTATAACGTTTTTGACCTTATGCACCCACCAAGTATAAAAACCAACTATAGAAAATGGTACCTTCAATATGCTACAGTTTGTCCTATCAAAAACCAACGTAGTCTCGCGAGAATCACGGATCAACTAACTGAAAGTAGGAAACACACAGCATGGCAGCACATATTTATTGCCATGTATTTTCCTAAGTTCCAACAATGCAACGGTGATACTGTACCTGTGAAACTTTCATCTCGGCTAAATCTAAAATATTATACTACTACTATCATTAGAGGCCACTGTACTTGCATAAGTTTTAGCGGCAGCAGATATATCGAAGTTCTTAGAGATAAATTACGGTAGAAGGATTACGATGACCTTAGTTTAGACGAAAACTTGTGGCTTTACGTCAGGACTTTTATCTGTTTTGGAGAAACACAGCATCCTGAGAAAACCCCGATCAGCAGGAAAGGTTGTTTTAAATTACCTTTACGTAAATTACGTTAGAGCCTAGGTTGAATGTTTTATGTTCAGTACTTACGCTTTGCTTCAGACGGCTCTCAGCACAAAACAAAGTGTGCCTGTGTGCTGTTGCGAGCTCGGACAACTGCAAGTTAGTAATCTTAATAGATAAAAACCGAATTTTCGAGAATGAAGACAAGCGCAGAAGGTTAGGGTATATTTTCAAGGTCAAGTCAAGCCAATTGCTCTGACGACTGCAAGCGTTAAGTACAACAGTTTCATTAAGGACATCAGTCAATTTCGATGGACAACTAATTTCAGATGACTTTTTCTTAATACTCTAAAATTCACATATTTGAGTATTTGTGTTGGAAAAAAAATACAATAATAATGACTCTTGATAATAATGATAACAGTAAGGACGACACGTAGCGCACAATAATCTTAAATCGACCATGTTAAAGTTCTGTTTTATTTTATTTACTTTTATATAGTTACTATGTCATTGTTGTACAAAGATCTTTCACTCGCTCCTTGCCCATTTAACGTTTTTTTTCGTCTCGCTAACAATATCCAGAAAGTCATTCATGATTGCCTTGCGTATGTGACCCCGATAACTGGTTGCATACTCTATGTATGCCCCAAAAATGCTAAACACAACGGATACGCTCGCTATCATTAAATAGGGGCATTCGGCTAACTCAAAAGCTATACGTCCGACTGGGCTAGCAAAATGCTATGTCACCCCAATGAAATATTTTTAGCTGACTAAATTCAACATATTTGAGACTACCCGCCCTAAACGCAACTGCTTTACTTGTGTCACTTTCTATCCCAGTGTCGACTTTATCCTCAGTAAATGTGTGTGTATATACAATTGGCAATGCTGTTCAAATGGAAAAAATATAATATCATAAAAAACATTAACGAGACAATTAACGAGACGTAGTTGCATTAATGACAGTTTGAACCGAACGTACGTTTTATACACATAGCCATGTACAACAGCCTGACGCACAGTTCAACGCGGGAGGTGCACTATACGCCAGCCGCGTTTTTAAAAGTCATTGGCACGCCCTATGTTTTCACTTTTCGTCAATTCTATCCTCGCTTAATAACAGATATGAGTAAAGTGTGCGACTTTACCACATTGCGTCGTCACAACACAAATGGTAGGTTTCATAGAACAGATCTTTCCTTCATTATTAGATGGTTTTATGCTCAGATATATTTATCCTACCCTGGCTCCTTGGTACAAGTTACGGTACGAATCTAAACAAGTGTATTTACTCATCCTTTGCGTTCGATTTATTCGCACGTTTCGCTTGCTCACCGCTACTGTACAGGCAGATTTTTCTGGGTGTTGTTTGTGTCTTTTTACCACCAGTTATTTCCCATAATGCTAAACCGCGATTTAGGGAACCTTGGCTTAGATTCCATTGTTCATAGTAGTCATAATTCGATACTTGCTATCTTTGCATCTCACCTAAGGTCGCTTCTCGAGAGTTTGGTCCTTCACAACATCAACAACAACAACAACAGGCAACACAAATCGACAGTATACATATGAATGAATCAAATAAACCCCAATCCACGCTCTTTGACGAAAATGCCCACAGAGTTCGTTTCGTTGTAGGTACTATGACGTCGTCTACATGTGTGTGAGCCCACGCAATAATCTAACTGGCAGGAATAGCGCATGTTTTTACAGGAAGTAGCCGAGGTCGTTCTGTTATTTCCGTGCACCAGATTAATCCGAAACAGCTATATATCCCCGTCGTTATCTACGGTTTTTCGTTCCAATTTTAGGGTGTTCGTAAAAAATTATCGTTCTATTGTTGCTGTGAATGATGATTCTTCCATATCCATCTATTACGGCTACAACCACCAAGCGCCGTACGATTAGTATTCATCTTCATCACTGTCCGGTGCTATAGGCAGGCCCGTAACGGCAGCTTGTTGAATGCTCGCCCAGTCCTGCTGCTGTTGTTCGGCCTGTTCTTGTCGAGCCTGCAATATTGACAGCGACAAAAAATCAACGAAGGTTAAAAAGATGGGATTTTCTACCTTTTATGAAAAATCATCGCGTGGGATAACGAAGCAAGGCGACGTTAGGATGTAATGAAATTTTTTGTAGATCAAGCGCCTTCGATTGTATGTTCTTCAAAATAAACTTGAATGAACTAACTTTCGCAAAGAGCTCTTGCTGCTGTCGAAGTAGTTCTTCCTCTGGGACCCCAAGGTGTTCGAGACGTGAACTTTGTTTGCGTCTTTTTGCTGCCACCTCTTTACAATCGGCAAATACCCGCTGAGCGTCGTCACAATATTCCTTGAAGCCAAGCTTTTCAAGGGCTACAGCCAAGAGAAGAAAAGTAATTGTCATTGTAGTAAAACACTTAAGTGACAACGAGGTTGATTTAAAGATCAGAGGACTTTCATAATCAAGTATTACTTATCTCTATAATCTAAATAAAACACGGTTTGACGTTGAATATTTACAAACGGACTTTTTGTACGTTATTCTAACAGCGTAGACGAATCTTCAATAAAAAAAAAACCAACTTAAGTGTCTTAGTGCGTTATGCAGATTAGATCAGATAGATAGGTCCAATCAATTGATAACCAATATATTTTATGATCTATATTCTTATGAAGGCGCTCTGGCTAGTTAGCCACAATGAGGCAGCCACAATAGGCCGCACGAACTAGTTTGCGAGCGATCCGTATTTCTGTATTCCGGCTTCTTATTTATTATTAGCTGCAATCTCGCCCTATCTAAAGGTCTCATTAAAAGGGCTATTTAGATAGGGCGAGATTCATCAGATCTATTATATTCAATAAAAGCATAATAGATTATCGATTAACATGAAGCTGTCTCGTCTCTGACGAAACTTACCGCTAATACAGGAAGTACCGAAACAGTTTTAAACCTAGAGCCACTATAAGTGCTAGATATACTACTATCCCGACCTGTCATTGAAGACGTCTATTAGTTCAATATGTTCTATAGTATAGGACGGACCGAATTTTGTCGTCACATGCGTGTGTCAACGTGGAATTGCGGTACGGTGAGTTAGAGGACGTGATTATTGAGAAAATCCAATCGTGTATACGGGATAGTGAAATAAACTCTTTTGTTTTATACAAGCACGTAAATAACACACATTTAGCTTGAATAAGTGCCAAGCCGAAAAAGATAAAATGGTTTATACCGGTTAGAATATGCTCAGCGTTGATGGTTTTCTTATGGTGTTGGTTGCATATTTCATTTGCTTGCGTTGCGATGTAGTGAATAAATTCGGAACAGCAGTTCAAGACGAGTTCTCGACTTTCGTTGGCAATCCGCACGTTCGGAAGTAATTCCTATAGATAAACGTCAACAGTTAATGCAAATAGATTTAATCAATGTATCTGATACTAAAAACAATACGAATAAAAACAAGGATACGGTATAGAGATACATTTCAGAATATTAATTGTTGCCATTTACCTATAAGGTAAACTTATATTCGATTGTTGCTCTTCCGCCACGTTTGCATTTTAAACATTGTATCTAAAAGTATCACATAGAAGTCGACCTTGAGCATTTTGTTCATGGCAGCCCGTGGAATGGTCAATTCGTCCTCCTCTGTCGGGGCTCCTACTGCTCCCGCCGAAACTCCAGGACCTCCCGGGTTCATTCCGCTAGATCCGCCTGCCCCACCTGTTCCTCCGCCACCACCTCCGGCCATATTCACCCTGCCACTGGACGAACCGCTGCTGGTCGAACTGACGACACTTGCAGATATCTGACGTGAACCATCCTGAAACAAACAAAAAAGCTTCAGAAACTTAGACACAGTCAGTGTATTGCCCACCTAAACTGGCTAAAGTTCTATTTAACAGATCACCATAGTGATAGTTTCGTAACAAATAAGTGAAACATATTCCGAAACGAATGTAAAACTTGTAACATCTGTTGGTAGTAACAGCATCTGCAGACGAAAATCAAATGGTCATATCTAAAAAACATTAGTTTAGCAAAGAGAATAACAAACGTACAAATCCCGCCTATATGATTATTGTCCCGTATCGTGTGGCAATTCATGTGACTGCCGTAGATAGGAAATTGCACTATGTATTTTGAATTCAGATGGACGAAACGTCATCTTGTACTTGAAATTGTTTTAGCGTTATAGGAGCCTATTTACATTTTATCATCCAAAAGAGATTGTTGCCCTCTCCATAGAAATCCGTTAGTTTTCAATCATTCTATATTCCTATAGCAAGCCCAAACGGGCGAGCTAGATCACTGGATTATTCGGGGCGCATTTCGTTTTAGTACGTCTAAACAATTCCCATTGTATAAAATCAACGTATGATCAGAACACATACAGCAGATGAAGTTTTTATCCATAAGGCAAAAGCGTCACACAAAGCTGGTCTGGGAGATGTGCACTTTAAATGGATAGTTTATTTGAATCACCCGCCAAAAATGAACAATGCTAAACGTGCACCCCATATTAGCATAGCACTTATAACAGACAAGTGCTTAAAAGACAACTTTGCAACATTGCAATTGGCTATTTGTAGCTAGAAAATAGCTAAACACAAATGTTATAGGTTAAGAGAAACGTCAAGGCTTTCACACTCATAGACAACAAGGATTCACACTTAAATGTGCAAGCGTTAGTTAGCCGAGTAAGCCGATTGCAAAACGCGTGAGTTCAGCAATTGACAGGGGTCAGGGGCCCAAAGCATAATTTATGTTTCGGGACATCAGCTAAAGCCAGTCAGATAGCTTTGGACGCTTTTTGAAAACACCGACGAAGTATTTTAGTAAGGACTTCCAATATTCAAATTATTTTTTTCTTTAGAATTAAAAGGAACTGAAAAGGCCAGATAAATTTCGTCAACGACTACAATACAAGATATGCGTTGGTAGTGTCTTCAGATTCCAAGCACGCATAGCAGAGTTTTCTGTTTTGGGCATCTCTTCGTAAGTGGCGTAAAAATAGTGACATACGTCTAATGTGAAACATTGAATAACGTCAGAGAAAATCCCTATCAGATTTTCCTATGATATGCCACATCGTGGTAGTTACCCTCGGTTTAAACATGTTAACGTCGCTCGAAATAGGCAAAAATTTATTTCGATGTATTCGAGGTAAACATAATTATTTTCAGACGTGATTTTCCTGACCCATTTATGATTGAAGTGGGTTTTACGTGTCCCTTTCCTGAAGTGACTTCACTGACCCTATTTTAATACGAGCTGGTATTTTCTTAGTTTAAATGTTACCGCACACATTTTGTCTAAAAATAAGCTTTCAAACTCATAACTTTGTGTGATGCGGTTTTGATGGTAGTCCTCCTGAATGTTTGGAAAATGTTTATTGCGTCGATCGAACACAGATTGTTTCCGGCAACTTCAACAGGGCAGTGCTGTCTTAGAAATGATGATGAGAACAATGTTTATATGGTTTTAAATGCTAGCAGACGAAGCTCAAATTGGTAAAAAAAAAAAGTAAAGAGAAAGTGGCCAATGGTGAATCGATCGAAAACATCTCTAGACGTATGGCATTGAGCACACAGCAACGTCGTAAACTAACTGGAAACAGAGGCAGAGCTGGTTGGTCGTTGCCAAGAAGGTTCCTCTAAAAGACATACCTAAATGGAAGCTTGTTGCGAGAAGAAGTGATCCCACCAGACAATCACGTAATTATATGTCGCTAGTTTTCCAATGAGTGGATAGCCATATCAGTGAGCACCGACACAAAGAAGGACATTCGAGAATATTGCCTCATTCGGCTACTGCATTTACAAGGGATGTGTGTCATTAAAAATACTGTTCACACCATTTGATATGCGACATAGCCAAAGTTTTGACCTAATGCTAGCTTTACGTAAAGATTATCTGTTTTATCGTTTCTACTACCGAAGCAATCCAGCTTCCCTTTTAGCTCAATTAGCCTGTCTGACTTTCTTCTTGCAAGTTGAAGCTTCACAAATACATTGATACTCGATTTTACGCTACGAAACTACTCCTTTGAATATCTTTATAATATGTGTAATTCCTAAATGTTTATTAATATTCTATTTTCTAAGACCTAAGATACTGGACAATGAGCAACGGTATATTTACATCGGCATACATACGCCTATATGGCATCACCGATGTATTAGCACCTAGTGTGTGTTATACTGTTAGAATTATTCTCAATAAAATGGCAAGAAACATTGAGCGATAATGAAAGGGTGCCTGTTCGACGATACCTCCCACAAGCCGATATGGATTTTGTTAAAACTAGGGCAAGGCCTCTCAAGTTTTATCGCAAGATCAAGTTTTCACAAGAAGGCACCATGTTTTGATCAAATTTCTTTCAAACATCCCAATATGTCTGGGCTAATTCATATAATATTAAAACTTAGCTGAATTTTGTTTTTTTTTTCCCAATTAAAAAGCCTTCTCCCAGTTAGCCCTTGCAACGACCTAACTGTTAAAACTGCTCAACCAACAAGGCATCGATTTCCAACAATTTGCACCAAGACTGCATGTGGAACAGTAAGTGAAAATCAAATCAACTTATTGTACGACTAGCCTCCGAACTCTGGTTTTAAAATACACAAAGCTCATAAAAGTTTTACAGGAAATTGAGTGAGTGTCTAGATATTGTTGGAAAATCTCCTCTCTTGTCTATCCAAAAATGCTTGTTAAGACACTACAGTATAAAAAACTTGGTGAATTAACTTTTTGATAAGAATTGAAAAACAGATATTCTTAACTTCGTGTTGAGCGCTATAGATTCTCATAGGCCACCTTTTTGACTACACCGTTATGGCATCTTGAACAGCTACATTGTTTTCATTCATAAACCGTTTATATACACTTGAGTCAAAGTCAGTTTCCCTTCGTTTACTGACTCAGTGCTCACAATTTCTTCAAAGAGTTTTTCTTCTCAGCTTATGTCTAGGAAATTTTTAGCAGCGTGAATGAAAAAAAAACACAGCGCATGCTTGTTTTTTAAAACCACCATTTTAATAAGGTGAAACTATACTTTATTGCCGCGATATCACTAAATGTATATTATAGCATCATTGTCATTTATAGAAACTGTGTTGTAGTCATATATGGTCTTGCCGCTGAGTACGATTGTAAAAATATAATATTCACTCGTATTAGGAAGATACGCGGTTTTAGCGTTGTATCGCTCTGCACATGTACAAATACAACTGTAACTGTAAAATATGCTCGCTACAATTGCATATGGCCCAACACTATATTAGAAACTCTTTAATTTGCATTGATTTCCTAATAAAGTTATCCTAGTCATCTTATAGAGTCCTAATGAACAGTACTACGCACGTATAAATAAAGGGAAAGTCGTTATTTTTTTGTACAACGATTCCTTACGCAAATCCATTATCACGCAAGCAAGCGACAAAAAATCGGTTAAACTCTGTACATGATCACCGAAACGTGCGAACGGCATGTAGTAGGAGTATTAATCCAACTGTAATATTTTTACTGAAACAAAAAATAACTTCAATCCTTTAAAAGTTGCAGGCCTATATAGTATATGAATATCTGCACACATACGGCGACGCGAGGCGTCTCATTTATAGTAGAATAATTTCTTGCACAGGGCTAAAGCTTCTCAGCATCAATACGCTAGCTAAAGGCTTCACTCCCATTGAGGGAAACGATTTTATCGATTCTAGTTTATAAGCGATCTGGTTCATCTAGCAGTTGTTTTATTGTGAAACGGTCTAAAAGTCGCCATAACGAACTGCAGATCTATATGAAATGTGTATATCTAAAAACGAGTTGTTAAGGCATTTTTGCGTAATATTTTCCTTTGGTCAATTAACTACTGACTGAATAATCGTCCTTTTCCTATAAATTACGCTACACCCTTATAAAGAATCTTATTGTCCTTTAAGCAGCGGCAAAGTTTGAAAATGTTTGCCAAAGTTAAGAATTCGGACGATAAATTTTTGTGAATTAATAACTATTCAAAGAATAAGTCTTACGCTTCCTCCCTCACCATGGCGCATTTGAGACACTATTTTATTTACCACAGTTTATCTCCATGTGTTGTCCATCATTACTCATCTATTTTACGCACCGGGCTCCGAATTTTGTGGGGGCATTTTTCATTCCGTACATTGCATTCTTCTTTCAACGTATCGTAAACAAAATATCTATCGCTATTGGCACCCAGTTAATACACAGAACGGAAACGAACAATGAGTCGATTTGTAACATTCGATTTGTAGATTTAAGTATGTACCGCATATATCGCTGGTTAGTTTTACGTTCATACAGATCACATTATTCATAGGAGGCAAAAGTATTATACTGGGACTGCCCTAGAGTTAGGGTCGGCACGTTTACCAGGTAATTAATATCTCTACGTCCAGTAGATTTCTAATGGCAATGGCAAAAACGTAGCATCGTTAATCATCGATGAGGTTGCTCCACGACAGCTTTAGTGCGCTGTTTCAGACCGATTTTGCGCAATTCTCATCAATCAGCAGTGAAAATACCCCATAGTAATACCGAGTCGTCCAGGTAGCAAGAATCGTGCGAGCAGTACGCAACTGCAATGGGCATTAATGAGACACTGTAGCTCATTGATACTTAAGAGCCGATTGAGCAAGTGATATCGCTATGATTTACGACCGTAGTTAATTAGTTTTCTACGGTACACTAGAAATTACGGGAGCATTACGGAAGTATCATACGCTGTAAGCTTCTGCAAAGCGTTCCCTATATATTCGTTGTAGGTATGTGCACATTTTCCCAGAACGAATGGCAGCATCATCATACATATTGGTATACTTATAAGCTGATCAGTTACCATTAGGATTGCTGCCTTTAATAATTTCGTTCGCTGATACGATCCGTATCTACGATACAATTTTTCATTGTACAATAGCTTGACGCGTGCTTAATTTCAGTATGTGGACGAACTCGCATATTGATAATCAAACGTTCCGTCATCATTTCAAACGGCTACACCTCAATGTCCTTATTGGAGGGAACCGGCAGTTTTGCTTCAGGCGTCAAATTCGGCAACTCTGTCCTCGTGTGCCACACAAGAACTTTATTGCCATTATCTGCTCTCGGCTCTAATTCCTCCCAGCCGGTGAGTAGTTGCGTCAATAGATGCGACTCTTGATATCCACGTTGGACGTTCAGAGAGAACAGCACTGTTGGACGTTCACGAATAAGTTTGAGACTTACAGCGAATGCCGCCATGTCAATTGGATAGGGACGATCAGGCCGGAAAACCGAATTGAATCTTTTCACACGGCCGTCAACAACGATTGGTCGTTCGACCATTAGGCCACCGGCCAGGCCAACAGGCCATACCGACACCTTTTTCGTTTGTCGCATCTCATTGAACAAACGGATATCATAAGTGTTATCGTCATCGGCAAAATATACAACAGCATCGTCATCAACGAGGCCGCTTTGTGCAGCTCGCGACCGCAGAAAACGAAGGGCTGCATTCCTCTGGAGTACACCGCGAGGCTTTAGCCAGTTAGGATCATTAGCGCCGAGCTTATACTTTTCCGGAGTAACCGCTGTTAAATGCGTGTACGACAGGCCCGAGTCAGCCAGAAGACGTGACACCAGCGCGCTCGGTGACTCAGCATCTTCCACAACAATCCAGTGTACCCGGCCCGCTAATCGAAAAGCATACGAAAGCCTTGTAAGTTCAGCTTTCTGTTGGGGTCGGGCATGTGTTGGAGTCACCAGGCAGACAAGTCGTTGAGATTTTGTCTCAGCTTCATTTCGCGACGCTTTCAGTGAAGCCGATGCCTCCAACCGAATAAGCAAGGCAACCACGAAGCCGACGAAGGCTCCCACAGCATACGGCACGAACCGATGTCTCATTGCGCGAGATGCATTTAAGCTTCCTCACTTTTTCAGCTGCAATCCACTACGTGTGCCATGGGAAACCGAAGTTGTTCATCAACTGCACCAACTACAGCGGAAGACGTGCGTCACTAGCATAGTCCGTGGTAACTTGTAGAGTTGTGACCCCGTGGCTAGCTCAATCTTGATTTGGAATCTGTGACATCGACGAACGGCCACACATAATAGAACACCGCGTGGGGTGGTCCTACTTATCGCCGCGATGTAATTTCATGTTGACATGTTGTAACCAGGTCGAAAACGAAACACACAACTCCCTAAACCCAATTACGGTACCAATCAACAGCGTGCCACGGTTCCGACAAACAGACATGCCCACAAGTCTGAATCACACACATTATCAAACGCATACAAGTTCATGCATCCACATACACACATATAAACTGTGTAAAAGATGGACAGGTCTAGGTAGAATCGGCTCATTCTACCGGAAAACATCGACCATTAATAATGGCCATTTCACGCCTGCTACTACTCATAGCTTACAACGCAAGTAGCGAGGCCAAGCAACTAGTGCTAAAACTATAGCAATAACGGCAGCTCGCTCAATTCGTTCAACCTGCCGTTGTATTCAACTAGTGCTCACGAACATTGAAACTCACTGCCCAGTCACACTCTCACCACCAAAAACCCACTACTATTGCTATTGCTGCTGCTGCTGCTGGTACAATAAATGCTGTGGTTGGAGCAAGCCACTCACAGCCCTATATACCACTCACTTTTTCACACTCACCACGTATGCTTGTTGTTGTTGTGGTTGCTGTTGTTGTTGTGGTTGCTGTTGTTGTTGTTGTTGCTGTTGCTGCTGCTGCTGCTGCTGTTGCTGTTGTTGTTGCTGCTGCTGCTGCGGCAGTTGCTGCTGTCCAGGCGGCCCGATCGTCTGGTCAACGCTGCCGCCGTTGCCGCCACCATGTTGAGGCGACTGATGCAGCTGCTGCTGATGGAACGATGGGGGAGGGCCCGAGGGGGAGGGTGTGGAGCCTGGTCGTGACGACTCCGGAGGTAGATATGTGGGCCACATTGGAGACTAATTACAGTAGTAGTAATAATAATAACAATAATAACTAACTAATTAACCAATTAACTGGCCAATAGAGGCGGTAAGACGAAAGGGCAAAAGATCGAGAAAATGAAAATAATCATACACAACACGGCACACGCCACGACAGGCTTCTCCAGGAATCACCACTACACTACAGCTACTAGCTGAACTTCTCCAGCAGCAGCAGCAGGTCGTCCGGCAAACCAGTTTTTGCTAGCGCACCAATAGGCTACGATTCATTTAGGGGTGCCAGCAGCGTAGAGAAGTTATCAACAGTTGGCCACAGAAACAGGTTTGATTAAGCCGGCAGCAGAATAAATCTATAAACACGATTCACTGGACACCTGCATTCAGACGCACGACTCTGAACGACAGTCAGTTTCATTAGAAGCTACATGCAGTTTCATCAACGTAGAGATGAAAATCATAAAAACTGTTCTTTAAAACCGCATTGTCTACTTCCACTTACTTCATAGGGCACGTTCTATTGCATCGAGGGGGGCACCGGCACACTCAGTTCACTGTGAACACACCAATTATATAGAAAACATTTTTGGCGAAACACACACGAACCATAACAAGATCAACAAAGCCCGCTATTTACGCGTTTACGGCACAGTGGCTACACGCGGCGCTGCTTATTGCTAGCAGCGGTAACACTATCAGCAACAGCAACTGTAGAATTCAGCTACCGAGAGAGCTGAGCTGGGCTGGGCTAAGACGATACGCGAGCGGCGGACAGAGGCTTGAATAGCTCAAAGTCACTACTTAGATTACTACCGCATAAATTCGGGTAGCGATATTATAATCAGCAGCTGGTCCGCCCAATCGGCTCAGTAAATTGCGGCGTGAGTAATTAGAATAAATAGAGCAATCCTCGTTGATATCCTCCCACATGCGCTGTGTCCTAGCCAATTCTATGGCTCAATGTTCTGCCGCAGCATCACACAGACCGCGCCGCCGTCTCTGTATGTTTGCCTATATGTCTCGGCGTAGAGGTCTCTATGTGTGCGTCCATATACCTGCTAGTGTCTCTAAGTCTTTTGTGTTTGTGTGTGTGTTTCTCTATGGGAGCCTCGCTTTTGTTTATGTCAATGTGAGTGCATGCAGATGGAGATGGCGGCGCTCGATTGGTACACTGTCGGTTGCTATGCTTGATCAAGACTCCATAACAGGAAAACGTTCGTACCGAGATATAAGCCCATTTCATCTACTCGTGTCCAGTACAGTCCTCGCTCCCCTTACTACCATGGCCTTTCGCTCTTACGATGATGGCTCGGCGTCTGCTCATCTATCGTCTGCGCATCTGTCGTCTGCGTCAACGGTCTGTCGTCCGCTAAACAAGTCTGGCTGGCAGCAGGCATGATGAATGTTTCTCTTTGAATTGTAACTGCTTTCCGTGTGGTTACCGAATAGTGGAGTGAAAGCTACACATTTTTTTCGGTAGCTAAGGAAGGGGCACGTGCCTTGCATCCTCAGCGGCCCGCGAAGTTTAAAACTACCTGATAAATGCACGCGTTATGCAGCTCACAGCTGTATTTGTAAACATCAAAATCGAAACATCGAATATCCCTAAGCCAAAAGTTCGAAATCAAAAAGTCCGGCGAGAACAAATAACGCGTATGTTCTACCGAGACACTTAGATTCCGTAAAATAGATTTTCAAACGGTCTCAAGGATTTGTGGCATTACAGGGTATATTTACGGGCACAGATGATGCAAAAGCCGTTCATTGTTGCGCGCTTGCTTAAAGAAAAGTCTCAAAGTGGATAGCGTTTTATTCTTGTGCTATACAATATGCAAGTACATAATGGGGTGTAAAATCGTATATGTTGAATGAATTGTAGGCAAAATTCACATAAGCTTAACACGTGTATTTTTCCTGAGATTTCTATGTGATAAGCAATTAACCTTCTATCTGTTTTACTATTCATTTATAACATTAATGACAGCTATATAATTCAGTTTTTATTATAAGCAGCGTTGTAAAAATAAGTGTTCTGCAAAAATCAAAGTCAGCAACACACCGGCTTGCCACGTTCGCCTTTTCTGATAATATTATTGCATTATTTAAGCGGAAGAGATAAAGTTAATATCTAACTTTACCTTTTTCGCTTTTTTATCATTTAATATCTAAATAATTTCATAATGAATTTAAATTCTATCCAACCTCTATAGTTTAAACATTTACAATTTGTTTTTATGGGATTTATTTATTAGAAATAGAATAGATCGGTAATTCTAAATAGATAATATTGTGCAGTTGTCAAGTATGTAATGATAGTAACAGTTTTTTTGTACTGATATTACCTGCATCGAGCAGGCGATCTCGATTTGATTGTATAAAAGCCCGCCAGTCATATTGTCAAAATGTCCGTGACCCTTCACACTGATGTAGGTGATATAAAACTGGAGCTGTTTTGCGAGGACGCTCCAAAAGCATGTGAAAATTTTCTTGCATTGTGTGCATCGGACTACTACAATGGATGTGTTTTTCATCGGTGAGTAACAAAATCAACTTGGAACCGCAACTTAATTATGCCAGGTATAACTCTCAAAGTAGCCATAGATAATAAAAAAGTAAATATAGACCGCGCTTTGTGTTATGTAGATAAAATGTATATAAAGTATCAATATGTTCTGGGCATGTGTGGCAAAATTGTATCGTATGTGACAATAAACAATTCAAGGAGTGAAGTAAGATGCGGTTTTCAACTGCTGAGGAAATTTGTTGGAAAAGAAAGCCCTTACAACTTTCCCAAAGTCATTTTTCTTTTGCTTGCATCTGCATCTGCTTACTGGTGCCATACCTAAACATTCAGTTGCTTATCCTTATAGTGTTAGAAAACAAAGATAAGTAGTTATGAAGACGTTGTAATTTTCAGAAATATAAAAGGGTTCATTGTACAGACTGGAGATCCAACCAATACAGGCAAGGGTGGCACGTCGATATGGGGTTCAAAATTCGAGGACGAATTTAAAGCAGACCGTAAACATTACGAGAGAGGCAAGTACTCTTTAAAGCGTTTAATTCTACATTTTTATTGAAACTAGGTGTTATCAATATTTCAAATGCTTTAACAACAGTTGAAATCATCGGTGACGCACATCAGATGACTATAAAATTCCGTAGAATTTGCTATCCATAATATATCAAAAGCATATCTTCACTATGGCGCAAAGAATAGTTCATTTACGGGTGAATTAATGGACCTTCAAAAAAAAACCTACAAATAATACTCATGTAAAAATATGGGTGTGCATTTTTTAAGGAATATAGCGACGATGTTTCAAATTGTTTTAACGATGTTCGTTATTTGTTTTGCTTTTTGTGTCTTCGCCGTTTCGTTAGGTATCGTCTCGATGGCTAATAATGGGCCGAATTCGAACGGTTCGCAGTTTTTTTTTACGTACGCTAAGCAGCCTCAACTCGATTTAAAGTACACGATATTTGGAAAGGTAGGATCAGGTGCTAATTAATTAGAGTACGTCAAGTATCTTAAAACGCTTTTACCTCACGGCTATTACACTTAAATAACGCATAAATGAAGACTTACTTTGATTTGAAATTTAAAAATTCCTATTGATATAAAAAATACGCGGTTTTTTTATGTACTTGTTCCACCAGAAAACAAGGTTGTAGAAAACAGCAGTAACTAGTGGAAAATTGAAGAATATAAGTCAAAAGCTTTTGTTTGCAAGGCATCTATCAGCTAAGACTCATAGCACATTTTTCATTTGAATAATTGTATCCTACATTTGATTTGCAACAGGTAATTGATGGTCTGGAAGTATTGGACCAATTGGAAAAAATCCCTGTTAACCCAAAAAATTTTCGACCCAACATCGAGAAGCGAATAAACTCGGTTACGATCCATGCCAATCCGCTGGCCAAATGATGAAACCTCAGATAAAAAAACTCACCTAAACTTAGGCCTTTTAACGGTAACCTTTAAAAATTGGATATTGTTTATAAATGGATCATACTGAGAAGCTATTCAATAGTGTACATACTAAACAATACAAATATTGTAAATAAATCAGCTGTTAATAACAGGTTTACTTTGAATTACACTTACATTTGAGATACCTTGTACGATAGCTCAACTGAAATTTTTTCGCTAATAGCAAATGAAATGTTATAGTTGCAGGCTTTCAAAAATGTATAGTAATCAACTTAAGATCCAAGAATGCTAGTCGACTACGGGAAAAATCAGCTCAATCAGACTACTCTGCAGAGGCGATCTTGATGATAGACAGATAAACAAACAAACATACATACACTTTAGTTGTTTAGCCGAAAGGATAGATTTTAGATTATACATTAGAATATAGATACATATACAGGCCTTTAGGTAGAGCTAGGGCGAATAGTAAACAGACTAGTAATGCTTCGGAGTTGTCAAAGACGCTCATTCTTGGCGGAACTTGAATCTGCAGTATTCTGATTTGAAGTCAAACGCCTTATTCATTAGACCGTAAAGATTTAACGTACGCCGCCGTTTATGTTCACGTGCGTGAAAAACTGAGTAATCCGACGGTGGCATAATTTTAGTGTAGTTATTTGGGCAAATTCGTTGGGTCAAGCCCCTTCCGCGACACATGTGATTAAACTACAAATGACTGACGAAACAAACAATATGGACAGGTATTTCAAATTCAATTAAGTACAAACTGAGAAAGTTCATTCAAAATATGTGGCTCTATAATGTCATAGCCATCAGTTCTCGGTTTAAGGACCCTTTTCAGTCCAACGGGATAGCACCTCTAGATTAAACACTCTGCTTAAAAAGCATGTAGATCTACAAGGTCTTTGCAGCTTAATAGAAAAGGCATTTAAATTCGATTATCGCGCAGGTTTAATGCCCATCGAACTTCGAGGGAATATCGTATCTACTGAGGTTGTTATTAAGCTTTTACCAAGCTAAAAAAGATACATTACGAACGCATTAGGATGTAGTAGTTACAGCCTTTAACGTCACTGTGATCCTATGCCGCCATGCCTTTTCGACCTCCTAAACCCTGATTTGTCACGTCCTTGAGCATATATGATATCAATTGGTTCGTTGAGGGTCAACTTTTGTCAATACAAGAGACGAGAATTAACTAAAGCCTCTTTAGCAAAAAAAATATCGTTGAATGCTATATAATACAAATAGGATACATTCCAATTTATTTGAAAACGTAAGAAACAAGATATATAGCCACCTTTAATAATCTTAGGTAGGAGATAAAATCAGCTAAACTTCTCGACAAGACTTGAACCTGCAATCTTCTGATTTAGAATCAAACGCATATGATGCAGGTAATCTAGAATGTAAATTGTAACATCATAAACGTGAAAAGAAAGCGTGTAAAGCTATCAGATAAAGAATAACACCTATCTGAATAACCGAGCTTCCGTACCAAAGATTATCACCTCAGTAAAACTTCTCACCAAATATCTTATATTTATATCTACACGCATATTTTTCTGCTAGAATCCTATGCTAGTATAGAATGCTAGAAATCATAGGCTCGATTTACGAGGGTGGGGGATTGCCTGTTGCAGAGATTTCGATAAACGATTTTTCTAATTCGTTGTTGTGTGAACTAACTCAGAGAGCTATACCAAGATTCTACTAGACGAAATTAGAATTAGTCAATTTCAGTAATTTTGTAGCTATTAACGAGATAATACACATGGACAAGCGTACTGGGGAGCGGCCTCAACTGTTTTACTTATTGAATATATTGAATTTTAATGCCATAGTACTCATTCGCATGACAAACGTGTCGTGGATTTATTTCTACTGATTTGGTAACGCAGTTAACACATCGGATTCCAGTCTCTTTCGTGTGCACAGCGCGTTTTTTTCACGGCAACGTACCTGCCGATAATTTGCGCATTATCAGAATGTGGGCTGCTGCCAATATGCATTGAGGTATATGGTTTATTATTGGTACTGTATTAAGTTAATTATTTCATCACACGTAAGTTATATGGTGTTCTATGATTTTTTGCAGGGTGGTTTTGAATACAAATACATATGCCTGCCCTTTTACGAGGTCAAACAAACTATTCTTATTTGAGTCCACCCATAGTATGCAAAAAGTACCAGTATTATCATCGCTTCGTTATGGAGGCATACGAAAACAGTTTCCATTCGTCCTTGAACTTGGCCGAGTCGCTGTGAGGTGTCATGCCAAATTTATATATAAAATTGAAAAAGCTCGCATACCTCGTTCTACGCCTTCACAAACAGCTGCTTCATCGCTAATGCGATGTATTTATTTCAGTTTAATTGAAAGCAGATTAGATTGCTGTCGACACGCTATGTAATGATTTCTTTTATGAGACACGCTAGCCGTTCTGTCATAAATAATCAAGCTCAACAAATAACAATGATAAAAATGTCAAGAAGATTACTTTTTACTAATTTAATTCACCAATTAAGAACTATTATACATATAGTTGATTAGGGTTACTGCTATCATAGTAAAGTCTTAAAAATTATAAAACTACAAAGCAGGTCGTTTCGTCGCTAAAGTATGAGAAACTTGGCGTCTTTTTGTATACCTTATTACTCTTAATTTTACTATGATTCATGTACTTACTATAATATTCAGGTATTGGCGTTACTGCACGATTTTTGCACACACAATTGAGATTTTTACATGGAATAGAATAGGAGGTGCATAGAAGTTAACTTACAAAAAGTGGAGGTGACAAAACTTCTTAGTAACGTGTGGTTAGTCCGTAAAGCCATCGAGGCCAATGCAGAGAAATACTGATTTAGTTTTATTGAGGCAGTCTAGCCAGAATTCCCGGGCAGGCGGGCGACTTTAATTTCTCATTCCAATTTGATCTTCCTTCGGTGATTCAGGACCTAGTATAAATAAGTTGGCTCAGCAACGCTTAGACGAGCCCCTACCGCCAAGTCGTATCTAATTCACCCAATAACCACCACAAATGCAAGCGTTATAAAGAACAAACATGTCAATTACTTTTCAAAAGCTTGTACGAAAATATTCCACCTCATATTTTATTTGTCCATCTTCTACATCATTGGAGTAAAGAAATGTTGTGCTCAATTGACCAGTAGTCTTTTATCGAACATTTTAAAATATTAAATAAAATAGATAAAATTTACTAAATTCTTCTTGAATGGTGCCCTAGAGTTAGTACCAGTGACTAGGATGCGTCATAAATATTATTAACGTTGCTTAGTGAGGCATTTGGGCATTCTAAATGTATGCTTTACTCAGTTGTGAAAGAACCTGTAGATATAGATATATATATGAGACAAACTGTCCCATTTCTTAAATGTATGCCCAAAGCAAAAAGCAGGCGAAGTACGGTTATTGGTGTCAGACTTCGCTGAACTCCTCGCATAGATCGGTGATGTTAAGAATGACGCGCCGAAGCTCTGTGTATAACACCATTTTGTCTAACGTTTTTTTGTGGAAAGTTGTTATTCCACTGCATAGTCACCTGAAACCTCAAAATGTCTCCGCACTTAATCATTATTAGGCTTGAAATAGTAAGTAAAGTACTAAATTATCTGCTAAATATCTTTAGTTCCAGTTTTGTTTGATTGGCGAAAGTCAGTTGCAAGAGAATACCAGTAAAAGTAAATGAATGAACATTTACAAACATATTGGAGCAAAGGGTAATTAATAAAACTTTCAAGCTTCAAATTCTTAAAGATTATAGCGAAAGAAGGATAAGTACGAATTTGTTGTAAAAATGTAAAGACTTAACCGCTGCTAAAAAAAAAGATAATAGTTGTTAGTGCTAGATAATGTCTTTTACTAGGTAACCCGAAATCAACAGCAATATTATAAATCTTTAGAATAATATTACGATACTACAATTATCTTTAACTTAAGGTAGTCTCTATGTCGAAGAATGTGACGCCCGAACTGATATTACATGATAATTTACATCGGCAGCCGGCAGCACAAACTGACACAACAGGCTCCCAAGCTGTAACAAAAATGACAGAAAAAAATATGTTTTTAACTTTTATTCAATGAAAGGTAAAGACACACTTTTATCAAAGGTTAGCGTTTTCCAAAGTGATTCCAAGGTTATATATTTATTCAGATATGTAGAAAAGAACGAGATTAATGAGCCTCGTCGTTTGAAATCGAAGAATCCCATAATCGAAACTTCTTGCTATATCAGCTAGAACAAAAAAACAAACAAATTTGTACAATGCAGGCACAGATCTTCCTAACGAACCGCGTGCTGAAAAATTTCTCTATATATCATATTGTTTTAGGGTTTTAGTTTTTATAATCAGTCTAGCCCGTTATGCCTTTTTATTTGGACTCGATAATAGTTTTAAAAATGTAGGCCAGAAAGTTTAAGAAAGCACCAAATAAACTGCCGCAGCTGCAGATGGGTTTGTACTGCGCTCTTGATGAAACGTGGTGCGAAATACTTGTTGAAAACTGCGGGCATTTCGGGCGTATTGAAAGGTGGTGATGGCCCTTTACAGTCTCCGTCGAGTTCTATTTACATCGGTCGTCGCAAACCGCTCAGCAGCTGATTGTAGCTTACCGGTTTCAAACTGGATGAAGTGTGCCCACTCCTGTGAACTATTCAAAGCCGGTCTGTGCAGCACACATTATATTTAATTATATGTAGATGTTTAAGTGCAAACGCAGCTAAACGATATATGCAAGGTTCAAGGCGCATGGATCGGTGTGACCAACACCCTTGCATGCTCCTATATCTGTCAACAAGGATGGGTGCCGAAGGTACGCTTTTATATGCGTCTCCAGCAAATACATCTCTAGAAAAGTACAGATGACAGTTCTATGTTGTGTCTGTGGACACACTCTAATATGCTTGTAAATGTTCTGAACGCTTGACCTATCTGAAGTCGTCATCCTTTGTTTCAACATTGAAAACTTGCTATAAGATTTGATCATAAGCAAATACTTGCAGCAGAAGCGACAATAGTATTCCTAAATGGTTAAAGGCTCTCAAAACTTTTTACTGTATGCCTTAAAAATTAGCATCTATCAACTGAACCGTTGCAATGAGGCAAGAACCA